CCTTTTTGTTATTGTTTTAGTCCGAAAGTATAAATTTCTGTTCCCAAAAACTAATAAAATTGTGTAAATTGCAGGAATATTGGAAGTTTGGTCTCCCATGATGAAATTCGACTCAGAAAAGAGTGTACCGAAGCACAAGGCAATAAAGGGTGCAGAAGCAAAGAAGTGCGGTCCGCAGAAGAAATTGCAGACCGCAGAATTCCATCTGCGGCCACAACCAAAGCTAAAGAATACAACAGGCTTTAATCAAATGTGCGGACCACACATGAATTGTGCGGCTGTAAAATAGGGTCTGCACTGACAAGTAGTTCCAAGTTCAAAGAGTATGCAGAAGACCAAGTCCTGATGCCTTGCTGAAGTACGGGCCGTACAAGAATTGTGCGACCGTAGAAGTTGCTTCGCAACCGCAATACAGAAATGTGCGGCTGCAGAGTCTACTCTATACCAACTGAAGAAATCTGCGGACCACACATGGAATTGTGCGGTCGCAGAACCTCCCGAAGGGCAATTTTGTCAGCGAATTTTGGCCCATTATAAATAGACGAGTTTCATAAATTTAGGTCAAGTTCGGAAAAATAGTTGTTGTAGCCGTTGCCTTTTATCATTTTAGGAAGTTTTGGATTATTTTAGTGTTAAACATTATAATTCATCAATTTAATCTTTGATTATGGGTTTTATTTGCATTTCTTCTTTATTTTCTTCAATACCCACTATGAGTAGCTAGATTGTTACTAGGGTTGTGATCCAACCCTAGTGTGTAAACCTTATGGGTATGTAATTTAATGCTTGTTTATGTTTGGGTGTTGATTATTTAGCCTAGTTCATGCTTCAACTTTAAAATTAATGGTTGCAAAACATTGATTCATACCTTTTTGACTTAGTCTTTATTTGAGAAAGAGGGACTTAGTCTAAGATAACTTGGCTAACAAGGAATTGGGTTTATCAAGAGTTTGATTAGCCTAATTAAAGGGTTCAAACTAGAGATAGTAAGAACCCGGCTTGAGCTCATATCAACTACAGTGTTTGATACCCATTTGGACTTGAGAAAGCCAAATTGGCCAAAATCACTCTTTGACCGAGATGTATTGAGTGGGCAACGTTGAGTTAAGAGCTATAATACATCTTAATCAACAAAACAAGTATTAACGTATTTAGTACATTAGGCGAACACCTAGGTCATGGTCACATCCCTAGGCTTTTAAATTATTTGAAAAAACACAAAAAACAACCATTCATTTCTAGTTATTTTCTTTAGCTTGCAATTATTAGAGTAATGGTAGAAGTAGAAATCAAAACTTTATTGTGAAAGTGCAAATTTGGTTAGTCCATTCACTCTCATCAAGTGTATACTCCTAACACCCCTTATAACTCCCTGTGGATTCGACCCCGACTCATAGTTGGATAATTTATATTGGATACGACGGTATCATATATCTTATTGAGGTGTGTTTTGGACGTCTCCGTCACTTTTAAGTTGCTCTAACCCATAACCATTTGCAAGTGAATACATATTTATCACTTTTCTAGCTTCAGCTATATCTTTGAATGTCATGGACATATCCAACTCTTTATAGTCAACCAATTTATCATTAATGTCTCTTTTTTTTTATGTAAAAAGTTTCTCTAGTCTATCAGAATCGTAGTCTAAAGAAATAACATATTCATTATCATCACAATTATCACTTTCATCACAATCAATGGCAGCTTCACGTTCATTAGGTTCATCAGACTCATTGTGATGGATTATATTAACGCTTGGCTCACAATCTTCTACAACAAATATGTTAATAACATTAAACTGGTTGTTAACAAAGTCTAATAAAGTCCTAATGCCATACTCACCTTCTATTTCATAGTATGTACTGGAGGGACAATTAATTATAAGTTGTTGGACTCCTATATATCCCAAGGTAGAAACATATTCATCCACTAAATTATTATAGGAAAGCAAGTTAGAATCAAAACCTTGCTTGGTGTGCACAAATTTTCTTGACTATGCCACGAGTGGTTTCTTGACCCACTCTCCACCATGATAAAAGACCAAATCCAGCAGGACCATTGACAGTAAACTGCAGAATAACGAATATACATCATCAAAGACACACTCACTTAATATTAAGGTTCTAAAGTAGAAGAATAGAGAAACAACATAAGGTATTAAAGTAGAAAAATAGAGAAACCAGATAATATCCTAAAGTAGAAGAATAAAAAAAATAGTATAAAATACACACTAGAAACAGCTGGAAAAGCCATAAACAAACCAGATAAGGTATAGAGATAAAGGCATATAGAAACAAAAAAAATGTGAGGTACCACATATTGAAGAAGTCAGTCAACTTCAATAAACTAATAGATGCAGCCACAGATATGGGGGACCATACATTAAAGTAACAAATAAAGTGTCCCTTATCCCACCCTCCAATAAACAACGGAGGAAAGAACAAATCAAAGCCAATACAAAAAATCTAAATCACTTATTTTCTACAAAAAAAATCAAAGAAAATGGGTACCACAAAATATTAAAATTGAAACCCTAAACACCAAAGAACTTTTCAATATGAGGCACATGCAAACAAAAAGAACAAAATTAGGGTTTAATAATGAAAAACCACATGCAAGTGAATACAAACGCAAAAACACACACCTAGCAGCTTGAAATTATCGATAAAGAAAGGGAGAAGTGAAAACCCTAACCATCCAAGAACAATTCTGAAAACTCTAACTCCAATAAACAACAGATTCGAAACCCTATGGCAACTACACTTCAGTTACACACACCTACCAGCTTGAAATAATCGGCAAAGAAAGGGAGAAGTGAAAGCCCTAACCAACCAAGAACAAATCTGAAAACCCTAAGTCTACATATACAACAGATTCGAAACCCTAGTAATACTACACTTCAGTCACATATAAGAAAGAGAAAAATGTAACAGAAACATCAAGTTTTTTGGAATAGTTTCTTACTTTTGGTTGAAACCAGTACTGAAACGCAAGGATTCTACAGACGGTCTTTGTTCTCTCATTTTCTTTCAAGTACTAGAAGGATCGATCAAATGAACGCCTCTAATCGTTTAGCCGGGTTATTTTTATTTTTTTGGTGACCAAACGGTTACGGGTTACGAGTTATTTGGGAGTGAAATGGGTTGTTAAAAACTAGGCTAAGAATTGATGGAAAATTGACTTGGATCCTATGTGGCAAAAATTTTGCGGGTCAGGTGGCACATTGGCCATCCGTTAGGGTTAGGGTAGTTCTACTTACTTTGTTAAGGGTAGGGTGGGTATTAGACGTAAAGTGAAGCGGAGGACAAACCTATACTATTTACAATAGGGACTCTTACCCTTATTATTATAACAAAAAAATCATTCACACTTAAAAGGCAAAGGCCAAACTGAAGGAGTACTAAAACCCTAATGCCTAAAATCTGCAAATGAGAGGCGAAATGGAGGATAAGTTGGTAGGGGGATTTAAATTTTTAAGACACTTCAAAACTTATATCAATTTTTAAGACAAAAGTGTTATGAATGGGGTATAAAGGACACTTTTGTGATTAGGGTTAATGACATAATTTTTAAAATTCCCAAAGTTTTTTTATTTACAAAAACACCCCCTCCTCCTCCACTCCCTATTCCTCCTCCCGCCACTCCTCCCCTCTTTCTCCTCCCGCCACTCCTCCTCCTCCCCTTGTTCCTCCATCTCGCAACGCTCTTCTTTATCCCTCACCATTCCTAATCCTCAAACGTTTAGGAAGATGTTTCAAATATTTAGAGAAAGTTTCAAACATCTACTGAGATGTTTCAAACATCTGTAAAAAAAAAAAAGATCAATGAGAACAACACTAGAAAAAAAGAAAGAAGTAGAAGAAATATCCCGATGGATGTTTCAAATATCGCGGGAGATGTTTCAGACATCACGAGAGATGTTTCAACATCCCCGGAGATGGTTCAGCAGAATACTCATTTATGGAGACGTCTCAAAATATCTCGAGGGTATTTTACAAAATACTCACTTTCTAAAATTTCATATTTTTCTCTTCTCTCGAAAAAAAAGAAGATGAAAATGTGATGAAGAGGGAAAGAAGAAAAAGAAGAGTGCAGGTATATTTTCAAAAGGAGTTTTTAGCTAAAATTGTCCCTTATCTTTAGGGATAGGTTTAACTTTGTCCTTTATCTATTACCTTGAACGCTTATTGTCCTTTAAGTTTGCTAAAGTTGAACAGTTTTAGTCTACCTAAAAGAATTCAAACGGAGAGTCCTAGTTTAAACGGAAGATGCATGAGTCTTTGTCGGCAGTGGTGAAAAAAGAGACTTCAACCAGACTGTTCTTCACTTCTTCTTCTTTGAAATCCCAATTCCATTTTTTCCCAATTTCTTTAAACACATCAGAGCCGCATCTTTCTTCTCTTGCGGCTATACATACCTTTTGACTTTAGTTGCAACTTAAGCTTTGCCTTGTCATTTTTTTCTTCTAAATTTTGATTGAAAGAGAATAGAAGAGGGACAGAGAATGGGGAACTAAAAAAATTATATTTTTCCTCATCTCCAGATAAATGAGGAATGGTGGATGAGCTTTTGATCTTGAGTGAATTTTACCAAATCAAGCAGGACATGGTGTATATATACTTTGGACTTGCTCCTGCCCGTAAACTACACGTCTACACCTATTAACCCAATCTAACTTTGAAAGATCATCTAACTGGTGTTTGAAAATTGTGAAACAAAATGAGACAAAAAAGAACTCTTATGATTCACTACATCGGTTCTGCAGAACTTGAGTACTGAAAGTCTCTTTACCCAGTTGACTTAGTGAAACTACCGTTAGTTTTTAGGTCTGTATTTGGGTTTTCTGTTGAATGGACTAAACCCGCTTAACTTTAGCAAACTTAAAGGACAATAGGTGCTCAAGGTAATAGATAGAGGACAAAGTTACACCTGACCCAAAAGCTAAGGGACAATTTTGACTAAAAACTCTTTTCAAAAGCCATCCTAAATCTGAAGTTACAATGGAAACTACAGCTTCAAAGAGGAGCGAACTCACAAGCAATGTCCAAATTCCATCCACTTCAAGGTCAATAATCCCTCCTCCACTTCCCCAAGAAATCATCTTCCTCATACTCTCGAAGCTGCCCGTGAAGTCACTGTTGCGATTCAGGTGTGTATCAAAACCATGGCTTGCTCTAATATCTAGCTCTGAGTTCATAAAAACACATCTCCATTCCTCCGCTAATGACAAAGAATACCGCCGCAGTAGGGTTTTGTTAAGCTTTCGATATAATTACCTCAAGGACTGTTCTTTACGTTCCTTACTTTACAGCCCAATGACTGAGGCATTTGACCCGGATTTTCCCATGAGCAAATCCCAGACTGCTTGGTGTGTGGGTTCTGCCAATGGATTAATTTGTTTGAACATTGGGCTAATGTGTATCCCGTTTGATATGTATTTGGAACCCATCAATTAGGAAGTCGAAGAAGTTGCCTGGCTCAGGAGTTACATTGAGGAGGGGTTGTAATAGCTATCCAGGATGTGGTTTTGGATTTGATGAGTTACATGACGATTATAAAGTTGTGTTTATTTTCAATAGTTCTAGTGATTTTCCTTCATATGATACTAAGATCAGTATTTACAGCCTAAAGACTGATTCTTGGAGAACGGTGGATAATTTTCAGGATGGCTTTATGGTAAATAGTGCAGGTATATTTGTTAAAGGGAAGCTTCATTGGACCTCAGTTGCTAGTGTTTATGAGCTCAATGACGACAGTAGATGCAGCATCATTTGTTTCGATTTAGCAAATGAGACACGGGGAATGGTGGAGCAACCCAATTATGGAGAATGCAAATTTAGTTTGATGCCGGGAGCTTTTGGAAGTGATCTTGCCGTGATTTGTAACCATGAGGGAAGTCATTCTGATGTGTGGGTTATGAATGATTATGGAGTTGAAGCATTTTGGACGAAGATGTTCACCATTAACTGTCCTGATGATCCTGGGAATTATGTGCATTATCGACCCTTTGCCATGTCATTTTCACCGCCGATTTGCCAGTCAAATAAGGGTGAAATTTTACTTTTGTATCGGTCAATTTTTATGATATACAATCCAAAGGATGATTCAATCAGACAACCAGAGGTTACTAAATTTGAGAGCTGTTTTGAAGCAGAAATCTGCGTTGAAAGCCTTGTTAGTCCCTCGTTGGTTGCTGACCGGGGACACGGTAACTATTAAGAGTTCTGCTTTACCCATTTCGTTTTACTAATTGATGTTCTCCTTTTGCATTTCCTTTTAGTCATATATAGAACAAGACAGTGTATATCTTTGAAGCTATACCTTACATTTTCTTGTATTGGCTGGAGTTCTTCTAAGCATTCCTCCTTTTTATTTTGTCACTATTTGCATGAAACAAAGGTTATTAGGTCGTAGTATATTGTTTTTAAAACTTCAAGTTAGAGTAAATATATGTTGTTTGTTGTCTTAAATAGAGGTTTAGAAGACATGATTTTCCTCTAGGCAGGGCATCCCAACAGCTTGGTTAGTCTTGCATTCAGGTTTTGCGGCACCTGTTGTCCATTTCATTTGGGGATACTTAATAGAGCTAAAAGAAGAACAATAAGAATACTGAACTAGTGTTAAGTTCTGACATAATATCCAATTTTGGTCTTTTTCATTGTATCAGGCTGTTTCTTTTCTCTTTCTGGCAATCTTTTTCTTTCTTTTACTTCTTTGGTGAATTAATGGCCGAATCTTGTTTCACTCTGACAAACATTGTGATGAAAGCACAAACAGTTTGGACGAGAAAACGAGATTTAGGAAGTAAAGCTGCAATAGTCATGAGAGTGGAGTGAACAACCAAATCCGAGGGGAGTCCAGCAGAGTAATGGACTTGGACTGAGCCCTTGTCTGATAGGGTTCTATTAGTTTAAATTATAGAATGAGTAAATAATATCATACTGATTTATTACTTTCAAAAAGAAATAGATCTACTTTACTGATTATTTATGCTTCTTTCTGAATAGACCTGGACCACGTTTGCAAACGTCTATAGTTCAATATTCTCAGAATTGTTAGTCGCTACAATGCATTCTACAAAATTCGTCACAATAGGGATCAAATCTACTTAATATCTCAAAACCTAGCCATCCATATCTCGAAAGTCTTAATACGCTCGTTATTTTTTTTTATTTTTTTTATAAGGTAAATATTTTATTAATAAGGTACCAAGATGGTACAATAAAGTTACAGAAAAACATCCCAAATTACAACACCAACAAACTATTCTCCCCTCCTAACTCCTCTAGAAAGTCCATATATTGATTCAGATTTCCTAACTGGCTACATTCTAATAATGTTATTTCTATGTCCTTCAAAGCAGGCCTTGTTTCTTTCCAGCCATAAGGTCCATAGAATGCACAATGGAATGGTTCTCCACGTCTGTTTCAGCCTTCTAGGTACTCTTTGGGATTGCCAAGTTTCTAATAAGTCCCTTACAGATTGAGGCATCACCCAAGAAATACCACAGATGCTAAAAAATAGATCCCAGCATTGTGTAGATACTCTGCAATGCAGAAGTAGATGGTTCACTGATTCTTGCTCTTATTCACATAGATAACACCTATTGCACAGACTAAAACCTCTTCTCTGCAAATTGTCCTGAGTTAAACAGGCACCCAAAGCCGCTATCCACCCAAAGAAAGCTACCTTAACTGGAGCTTTGGTTTTCCAAATAATCTTCCAAGGGCAGTTATTATCTCTGTCAGTGTTATCATAGGCGAAAAGCGCAAAAAAGCTCTAAGGTTTGTTGGAGCTTTAAGCGTAAAGCGCAAATAAAGTGTGGGCTTTAATGAAAAAAAGCACAACGGGAGAAAAAGTAAAAATATGCATGTAGTCTAAGACTAATCATTATAAGCATGAATAACGAATATATAGACAAAGAAATTGAAAAAAAGATTCACGATAAAGTGAAATATCAATTGTTTAAGGTTGCCTTTTCAGGATTACACTCATTGGCAAGGAAAAGGATGCCTTAGAGCTTTGATGCGACACTAAAACGCCCACAAAGCGAGGCGAAGCGCTCAATGTGTTTTGAGCCTCACTTCAGGGCTTAAGCGCGCCTTTGACAACACTGATCTCTGTGATTTGACTGTTCTATCAACTTGTCGTAACAAATTTTCACAGAAAAAGTTCTATCCTTGCCGACAGTCCAATTCAAAGAGTCCACCTTGTTATTAACTATCTGCCAACCTGTATCTGAGTAGAAATCAGAGATGGTACCATCCTTGTTAACCGAATAATCGAACAAATTAGGGAATTTAGATTTCAGACATTCATCCCCTATCCATAAATTGCCCAAACCTTGATTCTTTGTCCATTTCCAACTTCCAGTTTAGTATAATCCAAAATTCTTCCCATAGTCCGCTAATGCACTTCAATTAACCACCTCTTGCCTTCATGTGTAAAGAAGGAGGTCTCCAGCCTTTCTTATTACCATAAATGGCATTAATCAAATTCTTCCAAATTTTATTATCTTCCAGATTGTATCTCCAAAGCCATTTGAAAAGTAGGCTCTTATTATGCAATTTCAAATTCCTTACTCCCAGACCACCTCCTTTTTTATCATTCCATACCACCTGCCATTTAATTAAATGCAATTTGTTTTAGTAGCATTCCCTTCCCATAGAAATTGGTTTCTCAAAGAATTCATCTTTTTTTTTTCTTTTCAACTGCAACAGGCATTGAGAATAAAGACATCAAATATGTTGGCATACCATCCAAAACACTATTAATTAGAGTGAGTCTACCCCCAAAGGATAGGCACTGTTTCTTCCAAGGAATTAGCTTGCTTGCACACCTGTCTAGAACCCCTTTCCATATATTAGGATCATTTTTCTTTGCCCCCAAAAGAAGCCCTAAGTAAATTGTTGGAAACTTCTCCACTTTACAATCCAAAATGTCAGCCAGTTCATCAATAATATCGTCAGCATTTATACTAAATACACCTTTTTGCCAAATTAGTCCTCAAATCAGTGACTGCTTCAAAAGTTAAAAGAACTCCTTTGAGGTAAAGCATCTGTTCTTTCTCTGGTTCACAAAACAGTAGAGTATCATTAGCATATAAAATATGAGATATTTAAACCCTGTCTTTTTAGTAGTTCCAAAGCTCATGCCTTTATTCCATCCTAATTCTTCTGCCTTCATTAACGTCTTACTGAAAGCTTCCATTACCAGAGTAAATAAATAAGGGGATAAAGGATCCCCTTGCCTCAATACTCTTTGAGATCTAAAATACCTTGGGGGTTTCCATTTATCAACACAGAGAACCTGACAGTGGAGATACAATAACTGATCCATTCAATCCACTTGTCACCAAAATTCATCTGCTTCATTATGCTTAACAAACAAGACCAATTAACATGATCATATGCCTTTTCTAGGTCAAGTTTGCAAGCAACACCTCTCTTCTTCCTTTTCAATAGATATTTGATACTTTCATTAGCCACCGTTGATGCATCTGTTATTTGTCTACCCTTAATGAAAGTATTCTGACTCTCAGAAACTAGTTTGTCAATAACCAATTTCAGTCTTTCTGCCAACAGCTTTGCTAGAATCTTGTACACACTCCCCAATAGACTAATGGGATCTTTCACCTCTATTGCTCCTTTTTTCTTGGGAATCAAAGCAACAAAAGTAGAATTTAGGCTCCTGATAAAGGTCCCTTTCAACAGTTCTCCACACATCATCCTTTATTGTACTCCAACATTTCTGAAAAAACATAACGTTGAAACCTGGGGCTTTGTCACCTCTAAAAGATTTGATTACATCTTCCACTTCCTCCATTGTAAATGGTCTCTGCAGCCATTCCTTATCTTCACCTCCATTTGTTATTTTCTCGGGATAAAGTGACAATTTCTTCTCTATTTCCGCTCAAATTCTTCTCAATTTCTGGTGTTTGTCGCTTAAATGATGATTTACTCTATTCCATTTGGAGTTATGTTTCTAATCACTGATTTTCATCGTCAAACTGTTTGGTATGTTCTTCAACTTTTTGTTGGTTTATTTTTCTTTTTTTTTTGTTCTTCACTAGTTGTAACAGGTTCTTGTCAATATATACCATTAGCAAAAATAGGGTCGGACACTTTATTCTAACACGAAGAATTAGGAATGGAGGTAAGAGGTGATTCCCCAAACTCTTCTCTTGCAGATTCTAATGAATATTTCAAGTTTATCAGTGAGGGGGAAAATAAAATGAAATTGTGTTTGATTGTCTTCTCTCCCAATGAATTCATAATCGAGCCTAGTCTCTCTATAAGCAGTGATTGATATTTAACTTTTGTAAAAATGACCCTTCATCATTTCTAATGTCACGTGGAGGCAAAAGTCCTAGATGATTTCTTCCTATTTGTCCAAGTCTTAGTGGACAGAGTTACCCTGTACCGGTAGGAGGTAGTGGTACCCAGTGAAATTAGTCGAGGTGCGCACTAGCTGGCTCGAACACTACCATTATACAAAAAGTCATGTAATGGCTGCATGTAGTAAGTAGTTTAAAGTTTATGATCATTTTGCTGCTAGATGAGATGTGAAGCATAGTGGAGCTCTAAGAGAGCCTTGTCTTACAAAATGTAATTTCACCATCACCGTGAGATATAATTTTTGAACCTTAACTGAAAATGTTACACGGAAGTCCTTTAGTTTAGAGCCTAAGCCCTATCATATTAACCTGACTATTGCATATAAAGCTAGTTCTGCCATCATTTATGAAATACTACACGAATCCTCTGCTCCCTTGATATGTTGCTCAGTTTCTGTATACTTTCTGTCGACTGTTAATTCTCTAAAAGTTGCAGTAGTTGTGCAGTTTTATCTAAAGAATTGATTTCAAATTGTTAAAAGTATTGGTGAGCACAAATAGTTATCAGGAACTCACAACAGATTGACTGATTGTTTTCTAATTTTGTTGATCCCTTGGTTTTGTATTGCTGGTCCATGCCCTGGTTGGTTGGTTGGTCGGCGAGCTGTTGTTGTACTTTGAGTTGGTTAATTGTTGGTTGAGGCTTTTTGGTGGAATTATTTGTTTGATGTTTTTGTTTTTGTTTTGTATTCATAATTTCTGGTTTTCGTAGTCTTTCGTTCACTTATGCTGCTCCTCTCTGATTCTTTGTTCTTCTGTTCAAGTAGGAATTTGACCATTTCAGTTTTGGAACATGGAAGCTTTACTTAAAGCAAGTACTCATTTTCGCCTTGTTTTCCCTGTTTGAATACCTTCTCTCATTAATAGTAACCACCTCTCCTCCTTTCTTTAATGTGGGGAAAATGTTCCTTAATCATCTAATCAGACTATGCATAAGAACTTTGTCACCAATGTTATTGAATCACGGTTTCTTGCAAGGTGACACACCTGAATGGAGTCCTAGGTGTATGTTTGCACGTGATCTTCCCAGCTTCTATTTGTCTAAAAAAACACTTACTTTCCTCTGGTCTGGAAGAGTAATTGATTTCAAGATATTTCTTTAAAATTTCTTTAGAAACCAAAAACATCCATGAATCATTCAGATTTTTAAAGAATTTAAACGTCCCAGATGAATTTTCATGTAATATTTCTGAATGTGCTAACTTGAAAGATTACAAGCTTTCTGGCATAAGGAATCATGATTGCCATGTTCTTCTACAACGTTTACTCCCCCTTGCATTAGTGGTATATTGTCCAAAAGTCTGTAAGCCACTTATTGAGTTGTCTTTATTTTTTTGATGTGCTTGGAGCAAATGACTATTCATTTGATGAACATGCCATTAAACTTCAATTTATTTTGTTGATTTGAGAGTATTTTAGTATGTATCATTTGGGGACTTAATGCTTTTTGTTGGTTGTGGATTTGCGGGTTGTATGTAGCTAGGCTATTATTTGTTGGTTATGGTTCTTTAGAATATATTTGCATGCTTGGTTAATTTCATAAGGATGAGGCGTACTCCATGTTTATGGATTTACATTTAAACGGTCAAAAGAATAACTGCGACTCATAATATCTATATCTTTGCTCCATAAATAAAACTCCAATAGTAACTCTGTCTAGCAAAAATAGTGATGATATCGTTGCCAACAAGTCAATGTTGGCATTATTAATTTTCTGTGGATCTACATGAAACTGCAGGTTTCTTTTGCAGATCCCACTTGTGACTGCTTCGTGTCATATATATATGACCTTAGTGTTTCTCTGCTGAAATTTTCAATAATTCCAATCTCATCTTCATATTGGAGGCTTGCCAGAGCCAAATAGACCTGAGATGCATTGCTCTTCACAAAATGGAAAACCACAGCAATATCCACTACCATCTCAACACCACCCTCAAAAATATATTTTAGTGGAGGGAATGTTCATTCTTCATGTCAAAGAGGTCATTTGAATCTGCATTTTTGTGAATGTAGTAAAACCTTTTAAACTTATGACGTGGTAGAGGATTCTGTGTTATGTTAGCTAGCGCAACTTCCCAAAAATAGTGATACCACAAACATGGAATTTAAATTGTTTGTGTAACGTATAATACTATGGAAGTTTTAATTTGAAAAGATAGTTTATAAGGAAATACCATATCCGATTCAAAATAGTCTTACAAGTTTGTCTACTTCGATCCAGTTCTATAGTGAGATTGTGAGTTTTCTCATTTTTCCTTTACTTTACCCTATGAAATTGGATCAATTATCTCTTGGTACTTTCTAATTCTGGCATTTTGATAGAACTTTGAAAGTTTGACTTTGAATTTCAATTTTTTCTTTTTGTTATAGCTCTATCACAATTTCAATACCACTAGCTACAACTACATCCTTGTCAAAATTGTGTCTGATACAAAAACAGTGCCCCTCTTTGCCAAGCTTTAAATTCCTTAAATCTGCTGAGGCAGATAATATAGAGAGTCAAACCAAAAGCCTTTCAATCTCATCAAACAAGACAAGCTGAGAGCCTTGTAAATCCGACCAGATTGTACATAACAAGACATTAACAAGTTCCATGTTACCACATCTCTCTCAATCAGCCTATCAAATATTAGCTCAGCATCATCAACCAAACCAACTTTAGCATAAAAGTTTATAAGAGAACTCCCCAAAATCTTATCTAAATCTAATCCACTCAGAATAGATATAGCATGCGCTTGCTTACCTTCTTCCAAAGCACATAAGTTGGCTGAAGCTGAAAGAAGGCTTGACAGAGTTACACGAGTTGGTTCAATTCCTTCACGTACAAGACTCCAATAGCTTCCTCATTGTATCCGTTTTGCATATAACTCACAATTATTGAGTTCCAGGCCACTACATTTCTTTCAACCATACAATCAAAAACCTTTCTTGCATCAGTATTTGATGCATAAAGTATCACTGTATTTGATGCATAAATATCACAATTTCAACTCTGCAAGTGTAGTATCTTGATGCATAAGTTGTACTCGTCAATTGTTAGTTTAGGATGAATGTAAGATGTGTTTCTTTATTCCACGATTTATTATATCTGTTGTTGCAGAAGAGCGATTTAATGAGACAAGTAAATAAGCAACACTGTCTGTTTCTTCCGTTTTAATGTTTTGTTGTTGACTTTCATTATCTGTATGCATTATGACTCAAATACCATATCCTATTCAAATTAGTCTTATAATTTTCTTGTTGATCTTTATATTTTTTCTAAAGAGAATATTTTTTGCAGGTTTTGGATACTGGAGTTTACAACAAAGCAGTTGATTATATCAGTTCACTAGGAATGTTGGGCAAACTTTATATTATAGTCTAGGGATGTTAACTATAACTTCTTTTGCTAAGGGGTTGTGTAAACAATATTGTGGCTTATTACGTCATGGCGATACTAATGGGATGTTAACCATTTTCTGTAATTAAATACTACATGTATGAAAGCAGGATTTATCTTTATATTATACTTTTATGACCAGGTTTCCTAGTTGTAAATTGAGCATGACCTGCATAATTCATTGATTGATTTAAATTTCTGGAGAAAGACCTTTTGGCCTGCTCGCTTTAATACACACGCATTAATTCCAATTAGCAACAGAAGCTAAGTATAATAAGGTATTATCGGCCTCTAAGCTTAAGACCAGATTTACATATTTTGAGATCTTAAATTACGGACCAGATTTCTAGTATATTTTATATATAAATAAAATAGTGTTCTTCTACCAGACTTTGTCCACGTGGGAAGCTATTGTCTTAGCATGTGATTAATCAGGTTATCCTAAAAGAATGAGTATTAACTTTTTGGAAAGTGTTACATTTAATATTTAATATTAAACAGATAATGATGTCGTACGGACCAACAATAAGTACTATTTAACCTTAGATTAACAGATAAAAACCACGGATGAGTTCTACATACAACACAAAAGTGTCATAGATACAGCATATGTCGCGGATCAATGTTTCCTTGTATTTTTCCTTAAAGCCAGATGTCAAATTAGTTTAGTGGTTCGCCGATTGAAAATTACCCTTTACCTAAATAAAATAAATTGATTGTTTTACAATTTTTATGTTAAGTACTCCCTCCGGTCCAAAATATATGATTTTTTGGCCTTTTTTTGTGGTCCAAAATAAGTGATTTTTTCAGATTTCAAGAATAAATTAATTATTTTTTTCCTACACTGCCCTTGGAGTAAATAGTGTTGGAGTATGTGTTAGGAGTGTTTATGTGAAGAGATAGTAAAGGTTAACATGGTCAATTTCATTGCTAATTAATGTTAAAAGGTTAATTTCTTAATTTGTGTGAAAACATCTAAAAAATCACTTATTTTAGACCGGAGGGAGTATATTTTAGACCGGATCTATGCTAATAGTTATTAGTACTAATGTATATGGTGCCGTTTAATGATATGCACTTTCTACAGTTTTCTTAAAAAGTTATTCAAACTTCCCAGACAATGTTTGGCGTGGCTTGCTTGGGTGCATTTTGGATTATTCATTAGGAAAAGGGCTAAAAATGCCACTTAGGGTCTGTTTGGAAAGTCACCAGTTACGACGACCTGTTTGTTTGTCAGTATAATTATAAATTTTCTGTTTGGTTGCACAAGTGTAATTACTTAGATTAAATTTTAAATGACATAATTATCAAAACTTAAAAGTTTTTTTTTTGGTAATTAAATGATTTTATTACCAAGTGTAAAATATTTACAGCATAACAAAAAGACTCCCACTGGACATGCAGCCCCAGTTAGGATTTTGCAACTCTTCCTACTCTTCTTCTTCCCTGTGCCTTGTACTATTACATTACATCAGGGTACCAATTCAAATTGCTCATCGTCCTTGTTAATCTAGAAAACATGGTAGCTCTAACATGGATTTCCTGGATGATTGTTCTAATTATGGCTTTGGCTGTTCTAGTCTTCTGTTGGAATATTACCAGGTTCCTCTCTTGCCAGATATGGTATACTGTTGCTGCTAAGGACATTCTGCATAATTCTGCTCCTCCACTTCTACCTTTTGCTTTTCTCTCTATCCATGCCAGTTCTTCCTTCCATCCTAGCTTTGTTCTTTGAATTCCTTGCCATTTTAAGAGTTGTTGCCATATGGTTGCTGTTACCTCGCAGTCAAAGAATAGGTGCTGCACAGTTTCAGGTTCTCTTTGGCATAATGAGCAAGTGTTATCAATCTGCATCCCCCATCTTGCTAGCCTTTCTTTTGTTGCTAGCCTTTCCTGTATTGCCAGTCTTAGCATGAACTTCCACTTTGGTAATCCATAGTTGTTGCATATTAATCTCCTCCATGGCACTTTCTGAAACTCCCCTTGCATAGCTTTGTATATGTGCTCTATAGAGAAATTTTCCATCTTCTTTACTTCCTCTTCTGTGTATCCAGCATTGTCAAAATACTCCCTTGCCTTGAAAATTTGCTGTATTACCCATGATGCATTCTTTGGTACTGTGTCCCATATTGGTTTCCCCTTTATGTAGTAGATGTTAACCCGTTGGACCCAGAGCTTATCTTTCTTTTTGCATATATTCCATAGTAGCTTACAGATAGCTGCTTTATTCCATAGCTCAATATTGATGAAATTTAAACCCCCTGCTACCTTTGGACAACATAGTTTATTCCATGCAACGAGTGCCTTCTTTGTATGTTCTGCATTGCCTGACCATAAGAACCTTCTGCATATAGTGTTGATGAATTGTATGATCTTCTTAGGTATGATGAAAATCTGAGCCCAAAAGTTTTGGATTGCAACCAGTACACTCTTGATTAACACTTCTCTTCCAGCATAGGATAGGAACTTTGTTGTCCAGCATTTTATTCTATTCAGCATTCTATCAATTAGAGGCTCACATTGTACTATTGACAGTTTTTTGGTGCTTAGTGGTACCCCTAGAAGGGTAACTCTCCTTTCGTGTATCCCAGTATGTCCATGATTTTCTGTTGGGTTATGGAATCCACTCCACCAAAGTATATGCAGCTCTTATTTGGGTTTTCTATTAGGCCTGATGCTCCTGAGAAGACTTTAAATTTTTGGTGTAATGTCTGCACTGATGTTATGTCTCCCCTGCAAAAAAGTAGCAAATCGTCAGCAAAATCTAAATGCACTAAATTGACTTTAGCACATTTAGGGTGGCATTTGAAATCTTTCCCCTGCTTTAAGGATTTCAGCAGCCTACTCAGGTACTCCATTGCCATCACAAACAACACTGGTGACAGAGGGTCACCTTGCCTCAAAACCTTCTTGGCCTCAAAAGGTTTAGTTGGTTGTCCATTAATTACTACAGTATAGGCTACTGTAGTGATACACTGCATTATCCACCTGACAAACTTCTCTGGGATCCCTAGCAACTTCATCACCTGTTCAATGTACACCCATTCCACCGAGTCATAAGCTTTTTGCATATCAATTTTAAGCATACATCTAGGTGATATGCTCCTTCTTCCATATCCTTTTATCAGTTCATGGCTCATAATGATATTATCAGTGATCATCCTTCCTGGTACAAAAGCTGTTTGGCTGTTGTCTATGATGTTTGGCATAACTTCCTGTAACCTTGCAGTCAAAATCTTTGATATCATCTTGTATAGAACTGTGCAGCATGATATAGGCCTGTACTCCTTGATGCTTGCTGGATTTTTTACCTTAGGGATCAGAGTGATAGTTGTACAGTTTATAGCTTTATACATTTCAGTAGTTTCAAAAAATTCCAGTATTGCATTAGTGACTTCCTCTCCTAGTATGTTCCATGCCTTCTTAAAGAAATAGGAGTTACATCCATCACAACCTGGTGCCTTGCTATCATCAATGCCCTGTAATGCTTTTAGCACTTCCTCTTTTGTAATTGGTTTGATTAGTTGCATTTGTTGCTGTCTGTTCAAGCTGTGCCCATTCTGCATAACATCTGGATCCACCATTGGTAGTGTTGAGGCTGCTGTACCAAGTAATTTTTTGTAAAAGTTTAAGATCTCCTCTTCTACCTCCTTTTCACTTTGTATAAGCTTTCCTGTGTTATCCATCAATCTGCCTATATGGTTTCTTGCCTGCCTGTTTTTTACACAAGCATGGAAATAGGCTGTATTAGAGTCCCCTACTTTGAGCCATTTGATTCTTGCCTTCTGCTTCATAATACTTTTCTCTACTTCCAGCCATTTTGCCAGTTCAGTTTTTGTCTCCTTTTCTAATGCTATCATTTCCTCATCAGTTTCCGGAGATGCCATTCCCATTTGTATGTTCATCAATTTGTTCCTTGCTACTTGGATCTTTGGCCCCACACTGCTGTACTCCTCATTGTTTAAAAGCTTCAGCTCTTTTTTCAGCTGTTTCAGCTTGTGCCACACCTTCAGCATTGACTTTCCTTTATTCTCCTTCATCCAGACTTCCTTGACAATATCATCAAATCTGTGATGGCCTGCTAAACAGTTAAAAAATTTAAATGGTCTTCTCCCCCTCCCAGTAGGTTCAGCAACAGTTACCATTAATGGGCAGTGGTCTGAGAAGCCTGGCTGTAGAATAGTTCCCTCCATATTAGGCCATTTTTGTATCCACTCTGCATTGGCAAGTATTCTATCTATTCTGCTACGGACATGGTTGTTTGTCCATGTGTAGTTTCTCCCAATTGTTTTAAGTTCAGCTAATCCAACATCAACTATAAAGTTTTTGAAGTCTGTCATTTCTCCCTCTTGGACTGGATTCCCCATCACTCTATCTTCTATGGACAAAATGCTGTTAAAATCTCCCATTATTAAGCTTGGTTCTTGTACTCCACTCATAGTTCTTTCTAAATCAGTCCACAAACTCTTCCTATCCTGTATACTGTGTTTCCCATATACTGCAACAAATATGAACTTAGTGTTGCAACTCCTCATAGCTATCTGTCCTGCTATGTATTGTTCATGAACTTTCTTTATCTCAAACTCCACCTTTGTTTGGTCCCAAATCATCCATATCCTACCACCAGGTGCTTCATCATAATTTGCAGTCCATTGCCAATTGCCAAACACCTTCCTCATTATTGCTTCAGCTTTATTTGCCTTCACTCTGTTCTCCAGTATGGCTATTACTACTACATTATTGTCCCTACAGAAATTTTTTAGTGCTTTCTGCTTATAGACTTTATTCATACCCCTAACATTCCATATTATAATGTTCATCATGCTACAGTATTTATGTTTGGTTCCCTGTCACCTTCATTTCTTCTTCTCTGCCCCCTTGTTCCTTGTGCTTCAGATAATTGCACAATTTTTTGGGTCGTGTCAACTAAAGCTTTGAAAGCATTACCTATATATACTTCCTCCTCTCTGTGGATTTTCATTTGCTTTTTTGTTGCTGATCTTCCCCTGGCAACCTTCCATTCTTCCTCTTTCTCTTGTTGTCTAGGCACAGCTTCTCCATCTGGTTCAAATTGTTCCAGAAATCTTCCATGAT